CACGTAGACAAAGCGCTCACCAGCCTCCCTCCATTTTCTCTATCTTACTATTCCCAGTAGTAGAACGATGGCTGAATTACACTGATAGACATTAGCTGAGAACATGCTTCACATATGTTACCGTGCTTGATGCTGTATTAAAAAAAACCCAGAAGTATAGATTCTGACCACTTATTTTTAGTCTTTTAGAGTAATATGTCCAGCAATTCATGAAATATAGTAACTAAAGTCACCTCAGCAATCTTCAGGTTGAAAACATAGCCCTGCAACTGAAAGCCTATCTTGATTTTATTTAAAAAATGTGTATTTTCAAAATTTAAACACAAGGTGGCTCTCTCACCACATTTTTTTTCTACAACGAAACCTGGCTTGATAACAAATTCTTCATATGGAAAAATACCATTCACTAATCTAGAATAATGTTTTTATTTTCCTTTGAAAACCTTAACCAATGTTATCTTTTCTATTGGACGTTATATATAATTTAAAGAATGACTTCTTATTAAGTTCTTTCTAAAAACCAGAATTCCAAATACTAAAATATTTCTTATGCTATATAATTTAGTATACTAATGATTATTTTGATCTTACATTTAGATTCTAACTAGTAATTTGGGTAGTAACATCTATTTCATAGAAGAGTTGGAAATACTAAACACAATTATTCATTGTAAAGGATTTTCTGTAGTACTTAGTCCTTAATGCTGATATAATTTTCATCTTGAATTGGCTAGGAAATTCCTGTGTGGCATCAAATGAAGAAAAAATAAAATTCCAGATATCATTCTTTGTGGTTGAATACATCTAATTGTGTGCTGTTGCTTTTTCGTCCCTAAGTGAATCAGTATGTACTCGGCTCTATAAATTATCATTCTCATGTGTTCTTTTACCTCTGCAACATATTATCCCATGAAAAGGACCTTAGATTTGGAATAAGTAGAACCAGATTTTAAAGAATAGTAATAATTCTTTCAAATACCACAGCTGACACTAAAGTATAGTGAAAAGTGAGTATCTTTCCTTCCAATCTCTGCCCCCAAAACTAACCAGTTTCTTTCTCCCCAAACCAGGCACTGTTACCAGGACATCGTATATCTTTCCAGAGATATATAAATATTATACATAGGAGAACTCGTATTTTCATGATTTTTTAAGATATAATTTTATAAAAATGATAGCATACTATCCTGCACATTGCTATTTTCATTTACTATACCTTAGAGATTATTCTATGCCAAATAAAGCCATTTCATCTTTTTTATCTACTGCATAGCACTTCATTATATCAATATACTATAGTTTCACATTTCTACTGATGAATAGTTTAGGTAGTCTCCTTTTTCAAACGAATTATTTTATATAATTTTATTTATTATAATTATTATTATTTTTGACTGGAGAGAGACAGAAAGAGCGAGAAAGAGAGAAAGCAAACCGCCAGGTCTGGGATTCGAACCCTGGTTGGCCATGTGCGAGTTCAGCACCTTATTTACCATGCCACCTGCCAGCCCCTCCTTTTTTTTAACAAATGATATAATAAAATACACGTGATTTTGCATATGTAAAGGTATATCTTTAGGACAGATTCCAAGAGGTGTAATGGCTAAGCCAAAGGTGATGTGAATTTTCAGTTTTAGTTATGCTAATCTATTTTCCATAGAAGTTTTACTCCCTACCAATATATGACAATAATTATTTTCTACATCCTTGCTGATAAAATATTAAGCTTTTTGATAATTTTCAATCAGATGTGAAAATAGTATTTCATACAGAATTTTAAATTCTGACAGCTCAAGCCTTCTTTTGTTTAAGTCATTTTTCATTTTCTGTGATCCATTCTACCATGTCTTCTGCCTATTTTCTGTTGTACTGTTCTTTTTCTCATTAACTTGTCTGTGATATCAAGTTGAAAACATTTTCCTATTTCCCTTAGTTTATACCTTTTAAATTTTTTTGCCATGTAGAGTTTTTTCCATTATTGAAATTCAAACACTATTAAGAGAATGAAAAGGCAAGCCATAGACTTGGAGAAAAATTTTGCAAAATTATTAAATATCTGGAAAACAAAACAATCTAATAGAAAAATGTGCATAGGATTTGAACTGATACCCCATGAAAGAAGATCTGTGGCAAATAAGTACATGTTAAGATAGTCAACTTAATTTGTCATTAGGAAATTGCACATTAAAGCAGCAATAAGATACTACAACACAAGAATTAGAATGACATTAAAAAACTTGACAACATCAACTATTGGTGAAGTTGTGGAACAATGGAAATGCTCATTTATTGCTAGTGGGAATGCAAAATGGCACAATCACTTTGGAAGACAGTCTGGCAGTTTCTTACAAAGCTGAACACACTCTAACAGTTATGTGTCATGATATTTAACCAAATAAGTTGAAACTTATGTTCACAGACTTGGATATGGATATTTATAGACGCTTTATTCTTAATAGCCAATGTTTGATGCAACCAAGGTATCTTTAAGAAAATGAATGAATAAACAAACAATGATACACTCATACAGTAATACAATAATAAGAATTGTGTGTATTAAGCCACAAAAAGATATGTAAGAAACTTAAATGCATAGTAGTAAGTGAAAGAAGTCGATCTAAAAAGGCTACATATTATTTGATTCTAACTATACAACATGTTAGAAAAGGTAAAATTATGGATAGTAAATCAGTGGTTATCAGGGATTCAGGAGGAAGGAGAAAAGGAAGAATGAGAAAGTGGAGCTCTGAGGATCTTTTAGGGCAGTTAAACTATTACTTGGTATGATTCCATAATGGTACTTATATGTTATTATACATTTGTCAAAACCTGTGGAATTGTGTACAACATGAAGAGTGAATGATAATGTAAACTATGGATATTAGTTAATAATAATGTATCAATATTGTCTCATTAATTGTGAAAAGTGTACCACACTAATGCAAAATGAAGTAATAGGAAAATTGAATTGGGTCAGTCTGTGGAAGCTCTCTGAACTTTCACTTATTTTTTTCTGTAAACCTAAAGTGCTCCAAAAATTTCTATTAATTTAAAAATCATTCCTTTTATTACTTCAATTTTTTGTGTCACACTCTTAAAGACCTTATTTGTTCTTTTAAAAAAACAAAAACCAAAAAAATCCTATATTTTCTTTTAGATTCTTTCTGGCTTCATCTTTTATTTATTTATTTATTTATTTATTTATTTATTTATTTATTTATTTATTTTTAAGAGGGTGAGTTTTGCTCTAGGGTATGTGAACTCACTGGAAAGGTAGAGAGACAGGAAGAGATCACTCCCAGTGGGGATGGCCATACCACAATCCTTTCTCTTCCATTCTCTTGGGATTTTGGGCATACACACATGCACCCAGTGTGTTTCAAACTGCCAGGTCTAGGACTTGAGCCACGGTCTGCTTTGTGGTAGTCCAACGACATGAATCATTATGCCATCTGCTGGTCCCTGTGGTTTCATCTTTTTGATCTTTAATCTTTATTTTTTAATGACAGTTATAGATGTACATAAAATTTGGCAAGGTATAACTGAGTTGCCACTATCCTGAACCCAGTTATCCTTATTACTAATATCTTATATTAGTATATTAGTTATGATTAGTGAACTGACATTGATATAGTAACTAAAACCCATACTTTATTCACAATATTTTTTTACCGTTTTTATGCAATGCCCTTTTCTGTTCTAGGATCCTCTCTACCATACAACCTTAAATTTATTTGTCATGTCCTCTCAGTCTACACTTGGCTGTGAAAGTTTATCAGAGTTTTCATCTTTTTTGGTGAGCTTGACTATTTTGCCAAGTACTGGTCAGGTATTTTGTAATGTTCTTCTATGGGGATTTGTCTGATGTTTATTCATGATTAGACTGGAATTACGGTTTTTTTGGAGGAAGACCACAGAAGTAAAGTGATGTTTTTATTATAGCATATCAAAGGTATATATATTATCAGTGTGACATAACTTTTAATGATTTGATCATATGGCTGAAGTAGTACTTGTCAGATTTCTCTGCTGTGTAGGTACTTTCTCCCTACACTCGCCCTTTCCATAGTGTTTACTTCACATAGTGTTTAAGTCATGGTACTGAGTCTATACCTAATGAATGTAGTCATTCTCTAGTTCCTGGAGGACAAATTATTACATCAATTATTTGGAATACTAGTGCTCTGGAGATTTGTCTCTTCTCTCCAGTTATTTATTCATTAAACCACTTATTTATGTCAGTGTGAAATCATAAGTTTTTATTTATTACTTTAGATTATAATCTTATAATATTACTTAATTTTGTTGCTCAAGTTCTTTCATTTTTGACCTTTGAGGGCTCTTTGAGTTGGAGCCTTTGTACCTTTTAACATATGCCCATCATAGCAGAATTTTTCTTTTCTTTCCGAATATTTTTTTATTTTCTAGCACTACAAGATGCTTCAGGTCTCTCTTACATAGTTCCTGCCTCAGTTATTTCTTCAAAGAACACTGGTTCTAAACTAAGAGAATTAATGGTATTAGAAGCCAAGACCTAGGAACTAGGTGTGCTTATTGCTGTTGGGATATTGTTGCTTCTAGGCCCTATCAGTTGATAGAGAAAGAAAATATATGTATGTATGGCTTAAGTTTTAACACTAAAATTTTTAACTCATCTTTATTTATTTATTTATTTTTGGTGTAATTGGGAGATAGAAACTCAACTTAATTTTTTTTCCATGGTTGTATAGACCTATACTAAGCCTTTAATTTGCCAATTCTTAACTGTGTAGTCTCAAGATACATTATTTAACTTCTTTCATTCTATGTATATTCACTAGTGAGGCTGGGTAATAATACAGTTTTATCTTTTAGGACTATACTAAGGATAAAATGAGATGATAACCTGGAAAATTTTATGTGGATTTGAAACACTTTACAAATTAGGGTGTAAACTTAATCATTGTTGTACTAAAAAGTACTCTCATTAGAACTGTCCCCTTAGGCAGCAAAGAACTGACCTTCTTTAATTGAGACCTCCTTTGTTTGCAGTACTTTCAATAAATTGTTAGTCTTTTCCAACTGAATGTCGAGTATACTATTTTTTCCACTGGTTTCTATCATTTTCTGTAGAAGAAACAGAATATATACTATTACCAAATCAGTGCTGCTATTTTGATTCTTCCACTAAGGACACAAAGACTAATGAAAATACAAACCACGTAATACTTGGCAGTTTATTAATTAAATCTGGCATATATTTTTAAATAAGCCAAATTCTGATACATCTTTTATTTTATAAGTAGTATGGTAAAATATTAAAACAGAATAAAGGTTATAAATCAAAAGTAATAATATGACCTAACTCAAATCATTATATTTCCAACTATTCAGCTCACTCCCATAGTTAATAATCTCTATATACATTTCCAAAATATTTTATGACTATACAACTATGGAAGATGACCTATTATAGTCTGTTTTGCACCTTGGCTATTCAACTTAAGACTATGATGTGGGAGATGATGTCATATAAGCATTCTTTTTAACAGTTGCATGAGTTTCATTTTTTGAACATGCTACACTTTATTTAACTAATCTCCTATTGATGAGAATGTGTGTGGTTTCTACTTTTTTTTTTTTTTTGCTATTGCAGACAGTGAATAAACATTCTTGACTTTATCTCCTTGGTATCTTTGTGTATAGTATAATAAGTTTCCATGTATTCTTTAAGTAATTTAAAAAGTCATTAATTTATGACTATTCTTGTGTCATATATACTTCTAACTCATTTTTCTTGTCTCAGTACTTCTGAATTTATTTCAGAGCAACTCCCTGATTGCAGCGTGACCATTCTCCATGGAGAGTGCTTTCACACTTTCCCTCTCTCTGTGTTTCTCTCTTGTAAACATGCATTCCCTCTGGCTAAACAAAAAGAGGAGAGACTGGAAAAAAGGGATAAGTTAGCCATAATTGCAATAGAAAGAAAACTGTGTCAACTTCAATTCTTACTAAAATAATTCCTGGGTTTATGGACAGCCTGAACATTTAAGCATTCATTTTTCCTTTAACTTGGGCAAAAGCACATCAATTATTTGTTCCCTTGCCCTAAAAACACTCTGATAAATTAGTATATAATAGTCAAAATCACATATATTATAGGACCAGCAGATGGCATAATGATTATGTTGCTGGACTTCCATGTAGTTGATAGTGGTTCGAGTCTCAGACCAGGTGGCTTAAAACTCACACCAGGCACATGTGTGTACATGCCTAAAACCCCGAGTGGAGAATGGAGGACAAGGGATTGTGGTATGGCCATCCCCCCAGGGGGTGATTTCTGTCTGTCTCTCTGGTGAGCGCACATGCCCTATAGCGAAAATCTATCTCTTAAAAAAAATTGTATATATTTTAAATGAAGACTATAAAAAATGAAAGAGAAAGGGCTTAGCAAAATACATCTTTATTATCTTTACCTTGGTCATTTTGAGGTATATTTTTCCTTTTTTTCCTAACTTCTTCCATTAGCAAAATCGATCCCATTTTTACTTACAGTGCATACTATGGCTGTTTGCTATCTTTACGTACCTTCTCTATCTGTAAGAAGTCATTGATGAGTTTATCAAGATTCACACTGCTAACCTTTTTCAAATGTCCTTCGTCGCTTTGATCCATGCCCGAACTAGTGAAGAGAACTTAATGTTAAAAATAAGCAGAATCTGTAGCATCACAGCAGTAGTTACAAGTTAAACACTAAAGTTTCTGTACTGTACTCATAGAACGCCTACTTAAGCTCCATCGTACTTAGAGAAATTTTATTATATCCACTATTAACAATGGTTAAACACATTAAATCTTCTCTATTCCTTATTACCGCCACCCCAGCCAAGTTTTCTCTAAGCAAATTTGAAATGAGTGCAATGACATATGCCTATATACAGAGTATTTGTTCCTATCATACAAAAAAAATGAAACAAAACAAAAAACTAATACCATTGTCCAACACTCATATCTTTGTCTTGGCTGGACTTCAAATCTAATGCATTATTAAACCTGAGGCATGACTATTAAGTGTAAATATTCTCAATTTAATGTGTTAAAAGTGTTTGTGTAAGCCTAGCTGTGGTAGCATGCACTGCTAAGATTCTATGCTACATAGACTGACACCACATGGGAGGCGTGGGTTTGATTTCCAGTTCAATCTAAAGGCCAGGGTTGGTGAAATTCACCTGTAATCCCAGAGACTTGAGGATGAGACTTAAAAGTAGGAGGATTTCTTTTTTTTTTTTCTTTTCTTTTTTACAGAGAGGTTTTTTGTTACAGGGTGCATGCGCTCGCCAGACAGACACAGGGAGAGACATAGAGACAGAAAGCGAGAAATCACCCCCCAGGGTGGATGGTCACGCTGCAATCCCTTCTCCTCCATTCTCCTTTCGGGATCTTGGGCATGCATGCACACGCACCCAGCGTGAGTATTTTTAAGCCACCGGGTCTGGGACGTGCTCGACCGCGGGCGTCCAGCGACATAGCCATTATGCTAACTGCTGCCCCCCCCCCCCCCCCCCCCCCCCCCCCCCCCCCCACGAACTGACCGATTTTAAGCCACCAGGTCCGAGACGTGAACCGGGGTCGACTACGTGGGAGTCCAGTGACAGCCATTACGCTAACTACTGGTTCCTATAAAAGTAGGTAGATTTCAACACAGCAAGACCCTGTTTGTTTAAAGAAAAAAATTATATATACCATGCCACAAGTATTTCCTGGTAGTGTGCTTATTTACCCTATTTTGTTTGGTAGTTTGTCTAGTAAATAAAGGACAAATGGAAATTAATGTCCTCAAAGCAATCTCTGTATTTATTCACTTGTAATTTTGTGGAAGATTAACCTTTGGGAATACCTAGCTAACTGTTAGAAACGATAAATGAAAGTTTCCATTTTAGAAATATGGAATCAATCATAAGAACTTCTTTAGAATCCCAGTGGCAAACTCACAGATTAATTTTTTCAAAGTAGCTAGAATTTACATTTGGGATGTAGGTGTGTCTAGAATGAATCAAGATTAACCTGAAAGTAAGATTAAAATAAAAATAAACTACCAAAACAAACATTGCCTGATAATATGTTTATTGGTCAAGACACCCTATTTCCTTCTTCTTTTTGTATTATTTTACATAAACGGCTACTAATAATTTTTAAATCTAAGGGTTTTTAGTTGCATAATATTTTCAGTTTATTGAATTATCCTCTGTATCACACATATAAGAGTCTATATAAAATTCTTTAAATAGCTAGAACTTTATCCTTACAGCAGACAAATAATTACAATGGTCTCCCATGAGAAAAAGAAATTCCTTTTGGGGTAAAACTAATAGTCACTGCTCTTTGATACTACTGTTATTTTAAAATAGAAAGATAATCTGAATTAGTTAATGCAAAATCCCTTTGTCTTTTTTCTTTTTAGTTCCTAACTTTTAAATGAAAAGGTTTTCCTAGGATTTCGTCTTAGAACCTGACTCCTGAACTGAATGTATTTTGTGTTTCATTTTCTCCCAATTCTTTGCCCTGAAAGACTCCTGCAGTTTTTTCCCTTATAAAACCATCACTAATATCCACTTGCTATCTTTGATTTCTATCCCTTTTGTCACACTGGCTGAGCCAGCCAATTCATTTCTGAGTGTCTTCATTGTTCCTTCATCCAGTTTCCTACGCCAAGATTCTTTCCTGGATATGGTCTTTTCTCCAGGTGAAACTAGATGACAAACTGGAGATTAAGTGCAGGTTAAATTCTTCAGCGAACAGCAGAGACAGAGTTGTGACTTCCAGGACCCAGCTTCGCCATCCTCACCGGAGAGTGATAGTCCCACTCCCTTTTTTGCCCTGCCTGCGGCCTTGAGTCTCAGGACTCCCGCGACACTACTCGGTTGGACCCTCGTCGCTCTCCCGCCCGGTTCTACACCTGGGAGCAGGAGGACAGGCTCAGGTCAACCCCGGCTCTCTCCCGCAGCGTTCCTACGGCTCCCGGTTCCCACCACAGCAGCCTCGCGCCCTCAGGGGCCCAACGAAATAATAGAAGTGACTGCGACCAACCCTGTACGGAATCGACAAGGAGGAAGTGCGAAGGAAAGACTCTCCTTAGCAGACGTGGAATTTCGAACCTCCGAGAGTTCGCAGAGCACCTGCGGCGGCTCTGGGACTCCCACAATCTCATTCGTCGCCACCACCGCGTGCGGATGCCCGGTCCGCTCTCGATTGCTGTCCCCGTCTTGGGAAGCAAGTTCCCGTAACAATGGGCCCGCCCTTCTCCTGGCCCCGTCTGTACCTGGTGCTGGCGTCTCCACCACCCGCTCTTGCCTGGTTGGCTCTGGCTCCCCTCATCATCCGCTGCCTCTTGGGTATGCTCATGAGGTTTCTAAAACAGGGATCAACATCCAGGGACTGTCAGGCCCGTAATCGTCTACCCATTCAAAGAATAAATCACACTTAAGTTTTGATTTGTGAGTCAGCACCTTCAAATAAATAATCGTCCACATTTATTCTCATAACTGATACTTTTAAAGTACTAGAGTCAGTTAATAGATACGGTTTCCCAAACAGAGTTTTGCCTTGGTAACTTAGTCATTAAGGACATGACCTCCTGGGTATTAACAGAGGCAAATCCCAGCTCTTCTGTTTACCAATTGGTAAGCTTGGGCAGGGTTTCAATTACATGTGCCTCAACTTCTTTATCTGTAAGAGAAATTAGTAAGAATGTCCACCTCATAGGGCTGTTGTGATGATTAAATGAAACGATGCATTTAGAAGGTGCTTAATGGAGTTCTTTGCTTAAAGTAAGTTTTCAAAAATATTCATAATTTTAAATGTTCAATGTAAGTTTGAAAGTGTATCTGCTGCCAACTTTGCCCCGTCTACTTTTTAAATTTTGAGCAGGAGATTTCATTTTGCTAATTATATTTTTCCATGGAATCCAAAATTTGGCAAGGAGAAAAATGTAAATGGCAAACATTGTGAATGGTTGTTTCCTGATCAGAAGGGGTCTGGCTCTGTCCCTGAAAGTTCGGACTTGGTGAGAGATAATGCTGCTGCAAAACTAGTAAAAGAAGAAAATAATAAAGAATATGTATGAAGTAGAGAGAAGAAAATAGAAGACTATGTAAGTGATGGCAGCTTCAGAAATATAGTGGAGAAAAGAAGTAAACCTGCAAATGTAGGAACCCTGATGACGGCAAGCAGTCAACACGCTTAGAAGAGGAGGAAAAGAGGTAATACTATCCAGGTTTGTTTTTATGAAGACAGAAGAACAAGGTAGAGTGGGATTAATAAAGGCCTAATGTTGAATTTCAGATTGAATAAGATAAAAAAAAAGAAATATTTCTAACTTTGAAGCCAGAATCAGAGTCAGGCTCTTCAGTTGTCACAGGATCATTTTTACCTTTTCTAGAAAATAGCTGGAATTTGCTTTTCTGGGGAAAAACACATTTGACCAGGATTTCTGGAATTTACTCTCACGTTTTCTTTTTTCATATGGTTGTTTTCCTTAAAGTTTTCTATGATTTCCATATTGTTGATTATTATTCATTCTTTGTCAGAATAAAGCTAGAATATGGATTCCCTGAAATTCTTCCTAAATCCCAATATATGAAATCAGCTACAACCACAAAACTTTGAGTTTTTAAATGTTTTCGTCTACTTTCAACCACTGGTGGTGCTTACTGTTACTAGTTTCCTTATGTACTTGGTTTGAAATATTTATCAGAAAGTATTGCTCATATCTTTTGTTTTTGTTTTTCCCTAGAATTCCCCTGATACTATGTCACTTGTATTTTCTTTCCATTGTATTCTCTCTCTCCTACTATGTCCAGAGGACGTGGATTACTATAAATGCTGTTTATAATTCATATTTCAAGTTGCACTGCATCAAGTGTCAGCGACAGCTATGGAATAACATTTATCTCTTCTCCTAATTGACCGACATTATTATGTGCCTTAGACATGTTTAAACTTTCAAAGTAGTGTCCTTTTCTCAGGCATACATAGTTCTTCTACTGTAATGACTTTCTCTTCCTGTAGGGAAGACAGAGTAACTGTAATTACTTTTTTTTTTCCCTTCTTTAAGAGAGAGATTTTTGCTACATGGTGTGTATGCCTGCCATAGAGACAGACAGAAAGTGAGAAATCACCCCTCTGTGGGGATGGCCACACCACAATCCCTTCTTCTCCATTCTCCTCTTGGGATTCTGGGCACACACACACACACACACACACACACACACACACACACACACACCCAGTGTGAATTTGAAGCTGCTGGGTCTGGGACTCAAACTACGGTCTACTATGTGAGCGTCCAGCAGTATAATCATTACGCCATCTGCTGGTCCCAACTGTAATTACGTTTAACAGTGTAATTTGCCTAGTCTCACAGCTATAGACAATTGAGCCAAAGTGGGTAATTATTCCCAGCTGAGTGAAGTCAGCATCTCTGTTCTGGGAATATAAAAGAATGATGCTGTCTGAAGATGGCTTGACATATAACTTCAGATAGTATCACCCCTCTGTGCGGATTGCCACATCCTCCTCCCTGGTTTCTGGGTACACACACACACACACACACACACACACACACACACACACACACCCAGTGTGAATTTGAAGCTGCTGGGTCTGGGACTCAAACTACGGTCTACTATGTGAGCGTCCAGCAGTATAATCATTACGCCATCTGCTGGTCCCAACTGTAATTACGTTTAACAGTGTAATTTGCCTAGTCTCACAGCTATAGACAATTGAGCCAAAGTGGGTAATTATTCCCAGCTGAGTGAAGTCAGCATCTCTGTTCTGGGAATATAAAAGAATGATGCTGTCTGAAGATGGCTTGACATATAACTTCAGATAGTTTTGGTGCTTGGAAACTGTGGTGAGTTGTGTTTTCTTCCATTTGCTAGCTATATGCCATACAAATTATCAGATAGTTTCATAAACATGGACAGAGAAACTGAAAATTAAAAAAGATGGATAGAAAGGAGCACAGATCAGAAGCAAAAAATATACTCCGTATAGCTATCTTTGATTCTAGTACCTTTCTGAGCTCCAGCCATCTCCTTGAAGGGCACTTTCCTATAGCATCATCTGCTTCTGTTATTTACAACTAAATGAGAGGGGCCATTTTGAAACTAAATTGCATAGTGGTTAGGGTGCTGGATTCCCACATGGTCAGCCACGGCTTGAAACTCATGCCAGGCATGTATTTGTGGGTGCCCAAAATCTAAATAGGAGAATGGAGGAGAAGGGATAGTGGGTGGCCATCCCCTCTGCGGGGAGTGGGGGGTGGTGGAGGTGTGGGGCTGCGGGGGTGATTTCTTGCTGTCTCTAAGAGACCAATTTAATTTATTAGTTCCAGTAATGAAATTTATGCTTCTAGCAATTCTGTGTCAAAGTACATAACTGATTTAACAAAAAGATTCATGATCATGGTGAAGAATTTTAATTTCTCTCAGATTGTGATAGATCAAGTAAGCAAATGTCACAAATCTAAAGAAGGGCCAGCAGGTGGCATGAGGGTTAAAGTGTTGGACTCCCACATAGCTAATCACTGTTTAAGTCCCGTGGTGGCTTGAAAACCACACTGGGCATGTATGCGTGCTTACCTAAAATCCCAGGAGGAGAATGGAGGAGAGGGGATTGCAGTTTGGTCATCTACCCTGGGGGCTAATTTCTCACTTTCCCTCTCACTGTCTCTCTTTGGTGAGTGAGCATAAACTATGGCAAAAACCTAAAAATATAGAATTTGTAGTAAAGAGATATGTGTTCTAGAACCAGATATTCTATCTAGTTGTGAGGCTCTAGGGAAGTCAGTTAAGTTCTCTGTGTACATCCAGGTAAGTGTATAATGCCTCTTTTACCTACCCTCTGAGTAGAAAATAAACTGTGTAGGACCGGCAGGTGGCATGGTGGTTAAGGTGCTAGACTCCCACATGGCCGACTGAGGTTGGGGTCCTGGACCTGGTAGCTTGTTTTTCGCTTTTCCTCTTTCTTCATGTCTTTCTCTAGTCAAATTAAAAAAAAAAATAATAGAGATGAATAAAATTAAATAATTCTAAAAAGAAAAAAAGAAACTTTATGTGAAAACACTTGGCTAAGGTAAACAAATGGAAGTCGATATTCATGTATAAGGTGCTATCATTAACTTTGCCTTAATATTTGGCTGTTATGTTAACAATTTGATTAAAGTAAACATCATATATTTGTAGGACTATGAAATTAAGTAGTCATACAAGATAAATTAAGCATTTAAGTTAGAAATTTATTACTCCATTTGTCACTTAACTACCATAAGAACTTTTAGGTATAAAAATATTCCTATTTACTATTGTTTAGGAGTTCTTGCCCACAGCAATGAAATGTCTGACATCAGTTACTGCTTTAGGTACTCCAAAATTCAAATTTTTCAGAGACTGTCAAATAGATTTATTTATTTATGTTATTATTATTTTATACATTCAATTGCTATACATTGTTTAGCTTATAGAGAGAATTTACTCCACATGAAATAAAGCTCAGACCGGCCCAGTTGAGAATACTATACACATTATCATCCGCAGGTAATCAACAATTTTTGTGTCTCACAAATGTCTTACTTCCCTATTTTTCTCCCTAATTTCCTCCCCTACACTTTTCCCTCTCCAACTCTCCTTCCACAATGTCTCCAGTGTCCATAACTATTTTCAATCCTTTTATGTTCTCCAATCGCTCAGTCTCTACCATAGAGTGTGGACAGTCAGTATATGTTAAGTGGAAACATACAATGTCTCTGTTTTATAGACTGACTTGCTTTACTCAGCAATAAATCTTTCATATTTGTCCACTTTCTATCAAATGCCAGGGTCCTGTTTTTTATGGCTGAATAGTATTCCATGGAGTATATGTGCCACACTTTTTCAATCCATTCATCTGTTAATGGACATTTGGGCTGGTTCCATGTCTTAGTGATTGTGAATAATGCTGTAATAAACATAGATGTGCAAGCTCTTTTTGACTGAGCATTCTCTTGTCCTTTGGATAGATACCCAGGAGTGGAATTGCTGGATCATTTGGTAGTTCTGTTTGAAGGTCTTTGAGGAACCTCCATATTGTTTTCCACAGTGACTGTGCTAATTTAC